TTAGAGGGAGGGGCTCCCTCCTCTCTGTCCTCACACTGGCTGCTCAAGCAGCAGACACACAAACGACAACAGAAAAGTTTCTTCTATGACAGACAGCAGAGGGCTTTTCTCTCACTCACTCTTTGTGACATAAACACAATTCAGATTGTAACAGAATTAATGCCTTCATGACTGTCTGATTTTTAAATCATCATTTTGAAACTCTTGGTTGACAGTACTAACTGTTGTGGGGGGAGTGTCCTGGGAGGTGTCCTTTGTTTAAACCCACCATATACAAACAAATAAGATCTTATCCAACAGATAACTATTTGTTTGATACCTGAGATTAAACTCATTTAATCTTTATTCATCTTAGATTTACAACATCTGATTATCTAAATATTTCTCAACTATTATTTAACTATTTTAAGCCGTTATTCTTTTTGTCTTTTTTACGTTACTATTTTTATTCATTATTCCTGAGATGTTATTTCTCTAGTTTTGAAATAAATTGTTAAAAGACTAAATTAGTTTCCTACTTCTTGAGTTCTCCTTTTCTCTGGAGAGTTAGCTGTTCTATCAGACGTATTCACACCTGGGTGTTTATGAGTCTGATTATAAAGACTGAATAAATATTATCAGTTCAATCTGATTGGTGCTCTAACTTGGCAAAATGTGGCAGAAACAGTATCAGCCTTCTGATCTACCCTCACTACATCAGATCCATCAGGGGGTCTAGTCTGGGGGTCCTCTCCCAGGAAACTGATGTGTTTAGAGGAGTCATGTATTTTTCTGTCAKTAGGAACAAGGCTGGCTGCTTGAAGAGTCCTGAAGCATCAGTTTTTCAGGTCAGTGTGTCAGAAGGTCTGACTCTGAGTTAAATAAAGAGTCCAGTTCTTCTCTGTGAGAACATCTGTGTGTCGTCTGAACTGTTTCCTCTTTCATCTGATTCATCTACAGCTCACAGCTTGTACTGAAGTCAGAAGAAAAAAKGCTCAGAGCTGAAGATTTAAATRACATAAGCTATTAGCAAAGAGAGCTTCTCACGTGCTTCTAAAGACAGGAAAGCCTTTAGCTAGCAGAAACCTGCTGCTAACATCATCCCATTAAACAGAAAGAATCAAGGACACAAACCTGCTGTGTGCAGCTGATGGTTGACTGTAAACAGCTTGTGTTTGTCTCTTCTGATCAGCAGATCTTCTCTTCTTCCTCTGTTCTGACCTGCCGTCTCCACGTAGAGCTGCTGCAGCTCCTTACAGCTCTGAGTGACTCTCTGTCCAGCAGAGGACAGGGAGTTAGCTGCTGCTGGCAGCAAAACAAGTCTGAACGGAACTTATTAGCAATGAGGTATATTTCTATATTGTGTTTATACCTCATTGCTTATTAGCTTTCAGTGAAGGGGGGAAGCCACTTCCGTTAGTGGCTAGCCTTCAAAATAAGAGCTCCGACTGAACTGCACTTCAGCGCTATGTAGGAAGCAGGTCACTCCAAGCTCTTATTTTGAAGGCCAGCCAGCAGACACTACCGGAAGT